TGTAGGTAGGAAATGCTGGTAGAGGGGACTTCCCTGGCCCTTTGCAAGTACCTGTCCCGCCCTGGTCCTCTTCCTGCTTTGCCTCTGGCTCTCTCCCTGCAGTCATTCTGCAGCAGCTAGGGCCTCACCCCTCGCCACCTTGTTTTCCCTGCCCCTTTCAGCCTCTGCCTCATGTAAAACTTCCACATGCGACGACTGTGCTTGCTCCTGCACTGACAGCTGAGGCTGGGATCTCATCACCGTTTCACCACTGCTGCAGGCAGAGTTTACACCCAATTCTCGTAGCCCAAGAGGTGCAGCAGGCACCGAACCCTCTGTGTCCCTCTCTAGATCAAAGTACTGGTTGGGATGGGCTCATCACTCAGAAGCCCATGCAGAAAGGTGGGACATGCTCATCACGTAGAGGGCCGTGGAAGAGAGCGCCAAGCAGTGAATGATTAAATCTATGAACAGAAGGAAATTCCTGTGCCTGTCTTGAGAGCAGTCTCCCAGTGGATTCTCTGATGTCTTACAAAGAGTGAGCTTAGACTTAAGCCTCAGAGGCACAGAGAAAAGAGGTCTCTCTGCTGCCTAGTGATCATGCAAGCCTGGCCATTAGAAAACCAGGCTGGAAAAGAAGGATGGGAAGGGAGGTAGAAGGCTAAAGACAGACACACAAAGAAGGACACCCAGGGAGCAAAAAACATGAGTGAACAGCTCTGCAAAGACTGACTGATGAGCCCATTCCAAGCCTCAGATTGACCATCCATACTGCCAGGAGAGCCTAGAGCCCAGCTAATCCCTGTCCCTTACTACCACAGCAACAATGTGCAGCTGCCTGCTGAAGTCCGGCAGTCCCTGGCTGCGGAAGCGGAGGCCCAGAGACAGGCCAAAGTGCGGGTATGCCAACTGCGAATACGCCCCATCTCCTTCCAAAGCATCCCTCCTTCCTTTTCCACCCCTGCTTTGAGGTCCCTGGGACATGCCACGCTAGGGTACAGCTCTGGGAAGATATGTCTCCTTTAATTCCTGTTCAAGAGCTGTGTCTAGCAAGGGGAGACAGAAAGACACACGAGAGGTCTGGGGTTATCCCTGGGCCCACAGGGATCCTCATGGAGATCTCTTCCTCCTCAGGGTTTCACTCTCCTCTGGGAGCCCAGTGCAGGGCTGTCACCACTGTCACGTAGCCTGCACCTTGCTCTGCCCAGGCTGGTCCCCCTCCCTTGCACTGAGCTGCTCAAGAGCCTGGATAAGGTTTGTGTCCAGCACCCCTCCCACCAGCCTAGCCTGGGGGCTGCCCCCTCCCATGCTTTTCCAGCAAGGGTGTGCCCCATTGTGAGCCCTGATGGGCCTAGTAAAAACAAGTTAGACATGAGCTCCCAAACTTTTGGGAAAGTCAAGAGGTCTAGTACATGCCGTGATCGTCACAGCAGGAATATTATAATCGCACTGGCCTTGGGAATTTCATGGTGGCAACCTCCCTCTGTAATGAACAGTCCATGCCCCCTTACTCCCAGCCTCACAGAAACCTTCTTTATTCCCCTGCCTGGTAGGTGATCGCTGCTGAGGGGGAAAAGGCTGCTTCTGAGTCCCTGCGGATGGCAGCTGAGATCCTGTCCAGTGCCCCTGCTGCTGCTCAGCTCCGTTACCTCCATGCACTGCACTCCCTTACTGCGGAGAAACCTGCTGCTTTCATCTTGCCCTTGCCTTTGGATGCCATGAACCCGGTCTCTCCGGCTACCCACGGTCCTCCGGCAGCAAGCAGCCTCCTCACAGATACCACAAAGCTCCCAGAAAGCCCGAAAGACAAGAAGGACTCACCCATGCTCTAAGAGCTGTCCCAGAAATGGTTGCCACACTGCCCCTGGTCAGTCCTGCTCAGAGAGGAGCAAGACGACTGCCCTATTGGCAGCCCACCAGCAGGTCCTGGTCTGGAGGCAGGAGGGAAGGCAGCCCAGGCCTGTAATATAAAGCAGATTGTACATGGAAGAAGCCTCTGCTTGTTTTGGAAAGGGAAAAATATGGAGCACAAGGAGCAGGGCTGGCACGTGTGTGAGCAGGGGGTTGAGGGAAGAGGGGTGTCATCCCTTCCCTTTCACAGGGCCAGATGCACCTTGACACCCTAGGGCCTGGCCCCTGGGGTCTGATCCATCTTGCCCCATCACCTCGGCAGGACAGACAGACTGGCCGCTGCGTACTTAAGTGCCCCTGTCCCCAAACTGAACAGCCGGACAGGCGGGGGTGGGAGCCCAACAGTCGGTGGGGGAACAGGAAGGGGCTCAGCACGCAGGCAGGTTGGTAGGTGCTGCCAGTCTGGTTCTCCTGCGACAAGGGAGCGAGCTGGGTCCCGTGGCATAGTCCTGGGTGTGGGATTTCAGTCACCACCCATGCGCACGTACATACACACATGGGCAGCCAAGGTGTTGAGCCCCAGGAAGAGGAGGAAAGGGCAGCCTTTAAGGCTTGGCACTTCCCTGCAAGGCACATCAGCTGTGCAGAGGCAAGGCAGGCTGTGCTGCTGCTTGCTTCCACTGGGGGGTGAGGCAGGACAAGGTCTGAACTTGTGGGCATCTGAACATTTTAGAGGTGATCCGTTTAACCAGCTCCCACTGAGCTGACAAGGGGGAATCCAGCACCGCTGGGGAAGAGCCAGCTGAAAGCCTCGAGAACAGTACTGCTTTTGCCTGCTGCAGCTGCCTTGGTAACCTCCACGCACAGGGAAGGAACAGAGAAAGTCCTCAAAACTCCTATATATCTCTTCTGCCAAGAGAGATTTGAAATGACCGGGAACCTACAGATACTGCAGTCCTTTCCCTTGGCAAAGATAGGGAGCAGTGTCAAACGAAATGCAACTGCGCTTGGTTTCCCTGATCCTGGTGCCCTTTGGGTGGACATCAGCTCTGCTCCTGCACTTTTACTTGACCTGCAGCATCTCCCCTTGCTTCAAAGCAGACCTCCCCTGCACAGCCATTCCCAGGCCCAACGTTCTGCTGGTGGCCTGTAGAGGCCAAGACAGAGGGTACTTTGTGGCCCTTCTCTTAATTGCCCATGCAGTAGCTGGCCATCATGCATGGGCCTAGCAGGGGTTACCCAGCCAGTTGCTCACTCTTTGTATTTTCACTTTTATTCAGTCCCTCTTTGCCTGCTGGTAACACTCACGCACATTGGCACATATCATCAGTAACACTGATGCCCCTAAACGCCCCTGTGTCACGAGGACGGCCTGCAGGTACTGGCTTAATATTGCTGTGAAGGGCAAGGATCCCACTTCTACCGAGTACAACGTATTCTGTATTTAATCAGCCCCTTCAGCTCCCTGGAGTCCCCTTCTCAACACTCGGTGCTCTACAAGTGTTTGCCGGCGTTTTTACAGCAAGGACACCCAGCGAACCAGCCCCCTTACAAGTGGCTGGGAAGTGGGAAAAATCCACCTGTGAACTTCTCGGTGATTACACGAGCATCCGAGCCCCAGGTGTAACCTCACATCCAAATCATTCTGCCACGGCAACCCTCTCAGGAGAGGGCAGCAGGATGGCTGTGGCTCCTGCTCGCGTGTCTGTAATAGATCTCAGTAGCGATCCACTCATGGAAAACTAGCTCTGGGAAGTGGAACGGCTCTGTAATCTTCCACTGGTGAATGTGAGCTGTGTAGTTACTTCTCTAAGGCTGGTTCTGGTTATTTCTCATGCTGCTGGAATAGGCCCCTGTTTCCCAACCTAGGGCACAAAAGGGTGTAATACTACACAGAGTGAGCTGCAGATGATCCTTTCTCTGAACACTTCTCTGGCTGCATTTCTAACTCCGTGTAAAATGATCCATCCAGACCAAGATTCCGTGGCACATCAAGGACCAACACCTCTACAGATAACGTCTCAAAGAAACAACACTTAGCCTGAGAAATGACTGTCAAGAGACAAGCAGTACCATACCAGGGCACACAAATTACCCTATTTGCACTCCTATCTGCAGAAATCAGGCACAGTTCCAAAGAGCACGCCTTGTTGCAGCAGGATCTTCTCTTATACATACAGAGCTGGCAAAAACTTGTCATTTTACCTTCAGGAGATATTACATTCAAAAAGCTTGCAGAAGGAAGACATGACTTCAAAATGTACTTCAGGATTAGTGATATATGTTGTTCCCAAAATAGAATTTACTCCGAGGGAGCTGGCAGGGGTTGTCTGAGCTGATGTGATTCCTGACAGTTTCACTGCCTGCTCTTCCAAGCTGAGAGTCAACTTGCAGAGTCATGCCAAACCCAGGCAGCTCTGCTGGCCTTGCAGAGCTTTGTAACTATACAGACTGCCCTGGGTTGGGGACCCAACAGAGGCAGAAGTCCTGGGTAGCCACCTCACTGGGCAGTTTGGCCTGTTGAGATGGCAGCAATTTGAGAAAGGCCTTCAGGACCATGCACAGCTTCAGGCTGCTTCATGCTTTCTGAAAGAAGGGCAGAACCTTCAAGAGAAGAAGATTCAAAAAGACGAACAAAAATTTGTCCGTACAATTCTGTATGATTTCTTCCTAACGAGTCAGCAGGTACCTGGATCATCTGAAGCCCAGAGGACAAAGGAGGTACCCATTATCAGATACACAATGAGGCCATGCTGACACTGATTAAAAAAACCCTTGATACGAGAGGAAGGAGGTGCAAATGACTTGCTTGCATGATCCAACAGGGATGAGGCAGAATGAGATACAGCAGCAAGAAGAGATTGATGAACACAAACAGGAGGCAAGCACAGGGCAAGGGGAGGAGGGCACACAGGCAGGAGAAAGTCAAGGTAGCAATGGTATTACAAGGAAGACAAGCTGTAAAGATATTAGAGCTGTGGAAGGAGGTAGAGGAAAAGCAAGACAGATGCAGAAGTGGTGGAGCCAGCTAGAAGAACAGCATAAATGCTGAGATGGCATAGAGGTGTTGTGGTAGTGGATGAGGAGTAAGGCAGCGGATTGGGGGCGAGATGCTACTATGAATGAGCAGTACTCACTACTGAAAGAAACTACTCAGGCATTGCTGTTCTTTAATATTTGCTTTTTCTGGATCCTTTGGACTGGCCAGAGGTAGAAGCTTTGGGACTTGAACGGGCCTCAACTTCTGAGACGCTTTCTTGGAATTATTTTTCTGAAAGAAAAACAAAACAACAAACCAAAGCCATTAAAAGTACCGCAGAGTAAAAAAATGCGCCCAAGGTATCACATTCTTAACAAATTAGCCTCTTCTTCCGCATTGATGTCAAAGAGACAGGATACACTGAAGGACTAAGGGAAGAAGTTTTAATTCCCATTCTTTCTCCTTCTCCACATCTTATAACCGTGTGGATCCAGTTGAGAAAGGACACAAGGAAATGCTTTCATCCACAAGAAACATGCAACCTAAGGAACACCCTGCCACACCGTATGGGCAAGATCAGTAGGTCAGCAGTGTTCAGACAACTCCTGGAGACAGCAATAATGTCCTGTGCTATAAACACAAAAGGTCTGTGGCCTCTGGGAGTGAAGGGACCTGGAACATTATTTCTTTTCTACCCCAAAGTCAGTGATCCTAAACAGATCTTCTTGACTGTAACAGGCAACACTCACTTACAAGGAAGATAAAGCCAATTACAGTGATCTCCTAGATGTAGACCCTGTGTCATATGTCAAAATCAAACAAAATTATTTTCTTTCAAAACCAGACCATGTTCAGTAGTACTTTCTGTCCCAATCTAGAGTCATGGTAAAAGCCTCCTTGCTTGGTCTCTGACAAAGAGTCTAGACAAAACCCTAGGATGTGCCCAGGAGGAGAGGGTCCTGCACTAAACAGGAGGGAACACTTGCCCCAGGGAAGCGGTTGAGTCTCCATCCCTGGAGGTATTTAAAAGATGGGTAGACATGGTGCTCGAGGACATGGTTTAGTGGTGGACTTGGCAGTGATAGGTTAACGGTTGGCCTCGATGATCTTAAAGGTCTTTTCCAACCTTAACGATTCTATGATTCTATGAGGTGTCCTCAAAGATTGCTTCCCTCTCTGAGTCTAGGAGAGGGTTCAGAATATTGATTCTCCTGACCTTGCCCTTCTTTGTGCGTTGCTTCTGGGATGACTTTCCCCTCTTTCTCCAGCTCACACTCTAGCTCTTTGATTCTCTGCAGAGCTTCTTTCAGCTTCTCTTCAAGACCTTCAGATCTCTCCTCTGCTTTCTGAGCACGGATCTCTGTTTCTCTGAAACACAGAAGCAAAGATAATGTTGAAACCTGAAATCTAAGCAGCTGCTGGCAGGATACCTAAAAGAAAGATTTAGAAACCTGAAGCATTCAGTAGGATTGACTGACTCTATAAAACACATTTATGGTTTCAGAGAAGGGTGTTGTTAAAAGATCTATAAGGGACTTCATGGCACATCTGTGTAAACCGTGCAAATTGAATCGATTTTAAAACTCAGGGTTTGCTAGCAAAGGGTGAGATGCTGATCTTCATTGTGCAAGGATAAATACAGAGCACAGTCAATTCTATTAGCAAGGCTAATGAGATGGGCTTACCTTGGATAATGCAAGCTCAGAGACAAAACGAGAAGTATGAGGGAATGTAATTCAGAGCACCCAAGCCTGCTTAAGCATGGAAGAAGTCATTACCAAACACAAACCTTAATGTGGTTCTGCCTGGAGCCGCTTGGGTGTCCCTTCATTGTGTTCCCCACACTTAGGCACAACATTGCATGGCTGTACCTACCAAGCTTCTGGGCACTAGCAGGCCCTGGAAGCACTCAGCTGCGTTCGCATAGCACCCTGCAAGTGCTAACAGGACCTGAAGTATTAAGAAATCTGGCAGAAAACCATCATGAGTACCTCTGCAACGTACCTCATGAGTACACAAAATGGAAAATCTGCACACAGATGAAGGAGAGCTGACATGGGTCATGTCTTCAGCTAACATAAATCTTGGGTCAATGGCCCAAGACAATCAGAATGGAAAGAAACCCAAAATTAAGCCAACAGATGAAGCAGAACCTTATCAGAGAGCAGAACAGGCACTTGCCTGGGACGAACCCCTGCCCCGCTCATGCCTCCAGCACAGGACCAGTACTCACAGCAGCTGCACTTGCAGATGTTCCAGCATTGTGAGGGCTTCAAACTCTTTCTGAGAAAAGGGAGTCGACGACTTCGTGGCAGTCACGTCCCTCTGGCTGGGAAGAGCAAAACCTTCTATAAGTGAGCATGAAACCAACGGTGCTGCATTTCATCTGCAGCGTGTGCCTGGTTTGCTGTTGGTTTCTCAGTGCACAGTTACAACACAGACAAAAGCTCAGTATCAGCAAAACATGTAAAGTCAGGGACTAGTTCAGGCACTGAACTGATCTTGGCATTAAAAATAGACTAAAATGACTCAGACGTGAAAGTCTCACTGGCTCATAGTCTTGGGTTGCTGGGTTACAGAGGTCGGAGATGGCTGTAGCCTGACCAGGAGCGAAAAAAACAACAAAACAATATTCAGAGAATAGAAAGCGGCAGCTCCTCAGAAGATCCAACAGGCATGTCAGTTTTCTTCATCTGAAGAAGACAACCAGGGTTTTTCTGTAAATTAATTGTTAAAAGGCTCCTACTCTAAGCTTTGGAAGGTAATTGTGATTTCCAGGGATTCATTTCTGTAAAACAAATCGAAGTCCATAAAGAAACAAACGCTCCTGCATCTCCCGCTGTCACTTTGCACTAGCTGCCCACCTCTAAAGCGTGAAGGGCAAGGCACACTCAGCAATGCAGCACACTTAAGGAGTGGGACCATCCAGTGACAGTTTGCTAAAGATCCAGAATTTCTGTACCTCTAGGCTCCACTCTGGATGACTGACTGGCCAGGGAATGACTGCAAAAGGCAGGCCCCTATGACTTCTGAAGAGCAACTTTACCAAAGAGCACCATCCCAAAGGCAAGTGGAGAAAACAAGGACCTAGGAGGCCAAAACGACCTGAACTTCTTGCTTCCTTCTTGTTGTGGGATCTCCCTGAATCTCTGAACCCTCTTCAACTCCTCCCATGTGCTCAGCTCCAAAGCATTTTCACCATCCCAGTCTCTGCAGATGGTCCTGGTTCAGACTACTCACATCACCTGTCACTGGTCCCACAAACGTCCTGTGGCCATGGCAGTAACGCATGGGTCAGGAGGACAAATTGCAGCTGTGGTAACTGTGCTAATGATTATTTAAAGTTGCAAGAAGAGAGGAACCAGAGAGAACACCAGCACCTTGCACTGCCCCAGCAGATCTGACACAAATGTTAAATGGCGTCTTATAACAGAGTCTGAGTAGACAGCTAAAACCCAGCTCCAAATCTCTGCCAACAGGCTAAAACCATTGGTGTGGTGGAGACTCCTACCCCTGTAACTGAAACGATGTCTGACTTCAGGTGGATGTCGGAGTCATGCCCTACATATCTGATCATGTCTGCAGTACCTTCATTTTCCTCAGTCAGATAATCCATACCAGCACCTGGCTGCTGCTGAGAGAAAAGGAACAAGAAACAGGAGATACCACTAGCTTAGTGGCATTCAAGGCAGCTGTAATGCCATGTTTCACATTTCATACACCAAGCAATAAATAAAAAGGCCCTGCTGGAAAGTAGCATATCGCAGCTACTACAGTCACCTGCATAATAGCAATTTCCTCCTTTACTTCTGATGTTTCTTCCTCTGTTACAGGTTTCCTACCGCTGTTGACATCTTCAGCTTCAAGCTCTTCCTGAGTTGAAGAAATTAGAGTGTCCTTAAGCTTGAACTTCAACTGCAGTTCCTGTAAGGCACCGTAAGGATCGGGTTAGTAGCATGTTCCCTTTGTCCATCCAAATAACCTAGGCAAAGCTAACTGGTCTCTGACTTTCTCTTGCACATATTTAGACTTGGACTCCAGCCACCGAGGCGGCCCTGAGTATGAATATATTTCAAATCACAAATGCATATGCCAATTACTGAACATGACATAAGCAGGAGCCACTGTGGCATCCCTGCTTTGTATGGGCCATGGCACGGAGAAAAACAGAGGCAGCGTGCAAGCTACGGCACTAGCTGTACACAAAGTCATGAACAATGTCACTTTGCTTGGGGGTTGAGTTCAGAACTGACGCAAACAAATTGTTCAAGACAATAAATCTAAATCCATTTCCTCATCATCTGAATTTAGCCTGTTTCATATGAAATTACGCCAATGAGAGGCCAACCATCTATAAAAACACATCTAATAATACTCACAGGCAGTGTCAGACATCCATCTAGCCACATAAGGAATTAAACTAGAAGTTCAGGCTGATCACCTGGGCAAGGCAACCACCAGCATACCAGCCAAAGTCCACCCCCAAGGGGTGAAGCAAAAGCTATCACGCACCATGGGAAACCGATCTACCAGTGGGGTAAAATCTCCTAGCTCCACTGAAGCTCTGGTTTTGCTTCAGACGTGCCCTCCCAAGAAGCACTGTGATTTTTAACCAGTTTACAGTCATAACACCTCACAGTTCTAGCTGCCGCTTTGAGTGCATGCAGGTCTCCGTGTGAAACCTTCCCTCAAACAGAACTGTAGCTGCTTCCTTAAGGAAAAGTTTTGAAGCAGACCTTCATTCAGACTGGTTCAACCTAGAACAGCAAATGCAGTCTATATATACCTCTGATCCAAAGAGGTTTCTCAGTTCTTCTAAATCCAGAAAGGAGACCAAAGTGCCTTTGATCTCTGAAAGGAGAAGACTACACGCTTGAATCCAGTTACAGCACTCAGACTGGGAAGACATGACAGAAAATGATTATTCAGGGATTATTGAACAGAAAAAATAGCTGTTATCATCTTCAGCCAGTTAAATACTTGCACCTTTCTATCTGTCTTTATAGGAAGGGGCCTACCTGGACCCTTCCATCCCCACCCTACAATGGAAAAGGAAGACACATTTCTCCAGGCTTTCAGACATGGCATCTGTCACCAGCTAATCATTCCCACCAACTATTTCCTTCAACAAGCTCGTCCTCAGGCCAGCACAGAACATCTCTGTCACAGCCACTGCCCCAACCCACGTGCGGAGAAATGAGTGTAAATCCCAGGGGTTAATTTTTCACTCACTAAGGTAATGCAGAACAGAAGCACAAGTATTTTCAGTCCCTGCAGAGAAGCTTCTTACATTCCTTGAAGCGACACCATTTGCCCAGTGCTCAAGGAAGCCTTGGGCTTCAGGAAGGTTCTACCTCTTGCATTCCTAAAGCACAGGCAAAGCTCAGCTAAACACTGGCGATGACAGTGGTAGCAATTAAGACCTTTACATGCAAGTGTAGAATAAGGAGGCAGCAGGTAGGTGAGTTGACTGCAAAAAGTTTCAACTGCATCTGTATAAAAGGTATATGGCACCAAGCACCTCCAGGAACTCCTAAGCACCACTCAAGTCTGGATGTATATGGCTCTGACAAGCTTTGAACCAGAGCTGAACCTCCTGCCACTCACAGGGAATAAATCTCACAGGAGAGCCCTTACATATGTACCCTGAAACAGGGCAAGGAAAATATGAACATGACTCGATCCAGGTTTATCTGCTTTCCAGGACTGTGGAGTCAGTAGGGAACTTGGGGAACCAGGGTAATCCATTGGAGTAGCAGGAGTCTTCCTGCTCCTTGAAGCCCTCACATACATTTTCCTCTACCTTTTATAAAGTAAATGGAGTCTCATCTACCCGAGACCTGGATGGCTGGAAACACAGGCACCTTTTACCTTGATCTTGTTCAGCTCCTCCAGCTCAAGATCAGATTCTAAATCTGTCTTGACCCTTTCCTTTTGAACGGTTGCATTGACAATCTTGCGGTAGCAGCTGCAAAGATGCAGAATGTCATCAGCCATGCAGGAGTGCCCTCAAATGCTTAGAAACATAGAATCATACAATCATTTAGGTTGGAAAAGACCCTTCAGTCAGGAGTCCATTGCTGTCAGCAAGGTACAGGAGCTGTCTGTAGACCTCTGCACTAGAGAAGTCTCCAGAAGACCAATCCTCACCTGCCCTATTCACACAGCAAACTCCCGGACTGCTTGTCCATGCTTGTGCTGTACTAACCTACAGAGGATGTCTGAGCACAGATCCTGAATCAGTTGGAGGCTTTGCTCCAGGTGACCTGGACTACAGACTCGCTGCCTGTACTGCCCTTACGTCCTCTGGAGGTCATCCTCAGAAGTGTGGGCACAGCCCACGCAATCACAGATGCTAGCACGTTTTACAGCAGTACTAGGTATAAAGCAGGCACTGCCATTCTCTTTAGGTGTTCCTATCTTATTAGGCTTCCTACACATTCCAGTAAGGCCCATTTAGGACCTGGGAAAAGATCCAAGGACAACCAAATTGATGGGATCTGTCGCCATGACCAATCTCTCAGCATACTACATGTTTTTTCTTGAGAAAACCCCCTTAGATGAAATTGAAAACCTCTGCTGATACCTGACTATAGAACCAGAGAGTCTGCCCATCTCTGCAACCAGCTCTTCAGCTTCATGCTGCAGCTCACAAGCCCCCAGAAGTCTGAGCTCCTCATCCATCTCGGTGTCTGACTCTTGCCGCTGGGGAGACTCCCAGGACAAGCGCTCTGCTGTCATGTGTCACAGCAAATTCACCAGCCACAGGGTCAGGTTTCTGTGCAGTTCAGTTACCTGCACAAAACATCAGAGCAAATCTAAACCAGTAATAAATGACTGGTCTTGCCAAGTAGTCTGAAGTCAGTGCATTTCATGTAAGTCAATGTCCTACCTAATTCAATTTGCAGACTGACCTAATGACAGAAACATTTTTTTTTCCATTTTTTCTCCCATATTCATTCCCATTACGAACACATCTTTTCCTACTATGGATCTATCCTTCTCCCAGTTCTTGTTTAGGATCATATGCTGCTTATCAGCCACGTGGTGCTCTCTTGTGTCCATAATTCAACAACAAACCAAAAATCACACACCACAATTGCAGAACATTTAAAAAATGCATAGTGAGAGCCTCTAGTCTACGGTCCTGGGAGAAAGAAGTAAAACCACAGAGAGCTTGCAGCCACACCAGCTCTCCGAACAGGAAATATCAATGTTATTCCAGAGGAAAAGCTTGCTAAAGATGAAACAATAAAATTGTGTTCAGGCACCGTATAGGAGACCTTACAGTTATTTTTAAAGGAGTTCTCCTCTGCTCCTTTGGCTGGAAGACAAAAGCCACAACTCAACTCTAAAAGGAAAGAAAGTGTCGAAAGAGAAACAAGCATTCCTCACAACTGCGCTCTGGCCAGGTAGAAATTAAAGGAAAAACTGAATACTAGATATAGTGCTCTTATCCCTAGCAGTTTCAGGCTTGCACTTACTTTTTTGTTAAGATGCATGATGTTCTTCTCAACCTCAGAATTCATGGACAGAATCCATTGCTGAATCATCTGAAAAAATTCTCTAGCTACCACCCTGGAAAAAAAAAAAACAAAACACAAATCCAGAAATAAAGTGACCTCTGGTGCACCAGACCCGAGGATCTCCTGTCTCAAAGACACCTTTCGCTTCCCAGCTCAAGGAAAGGACATATTTTAGTACCCCATATGCTGGAAACATGACGCAGGCGTTTTTGTTAATGCTATAGATATGGGCAAACTTGGCATTTGCAAGTAATCTCTTACATATACGTTAGGCATGTGCTCTGCAAATGATTTATTTCTTGATGATATTTACCAAAGGCAATGGAGCACCATGAAGAGGAACATGCCCCCACAAATCTGACTATAAATGAATCACATATTTTGTTTTTTCTTCAAATGTCAAGATTTCCAAAGCAGGTGGCAGTTCTGAAGGAGACGGTGATGTTCCAGGAGCGATACTGAAGCCACCAACTGTTTCCACAGATATCGCCAATCATTTTAACACTTCAGCTGATCACGTTTATCCCACTGCCAGTTTCCTGCACAAGGGTCCCCACAAAAGAACATTTCTCTTTTCTTACGAGTGTAGTTTAATGTACAAGGCCAGCCCAGACACAATTAACACCTCTGTCCTTACGGGAAATGAGATTTCTTATCACTCTCCACTTCATGCAACTGGCTGGAGCCTATACAGCTCATCACTGTATCTACCTGGGCCAGCCATACAGGAATCTTGTGATAAAATGCCCGCAGCTCAGCTTCGTGCATGCCAGAACCTCGCTTCAGCTTTTGCGCCTTGAATAACCAATCTTCCATATTTCTCACCAAGGCTGTCAAAAACCTAGCTGCGCCTCAGGGGAAAAAAATACAAACCTTTAATTATAATTCTCTCAGCCAACAAAACCAAAGCTGAATTCAAAGAGGGATGCCAAGAAGGATGAACAGCCTATGGGGGAAATGGCTACACTTAGGACTAAGAATAAGCTGTTTAGTAAGCACTGAATTCAAAGCAACCTGCAAGAAAATGGTCTTGATTTGAAGCCCTGACTTTCCTTCTTGTCTTGGCAGATTTGGCTCCCTTGTTGCATAAAGGCTTAATGTAACGCTTTTTAAAATGGCTTTGCAGTTACAATCCAATTCTTTGAAGATGCAGGTGATACAGTATGCACAGATGTGCAAAATGCCTGGACAAGGTAATAAATTACTTGTTCATTCACTCATCTGGCACATGCTGATGGATATTCTCTATTTGTGGGGAATATGCTTGAAATTTAACAATGCTTACTCTTGATATCTTTAAATCCTGGTGAGGTCCAGGCCTCCATGATATCATGTAGCAAAGGTGGTGATGACAAGTTTTTTAATATTTCAATGATTCTGATGCATGGCTCAATTTCCCCGCTGTACAGCTGTGGGGTAGAACTGGTTAACTTCTCCTTTAGATTGGGAGAAGTGCAATGAAGCAGTGTTGGGATGTCCAGACTGGTAAGAAATGGAGGAGGTTACCCTCCACAGGGTGGAGCCTTTCAGAGCGCACGATGGGAGCTACACAACCAGGTATTAGTTTTTAATGACCAGGAGGCCAAGGAGAAGTGGTAGGAATGATATTGTTTGTGTTTTCCTGCCATACAGCATCAGCTTAAGAGGAAAGAAGAGGTAGGTCCCAGGAGGGCATGGGATGAGGGAGAACAGTCACTTCTGATCACTTACATGTGGTTTGGCCATATTTGCCCTTACACAGTATCCTGGATCCTTATTAAATAGCAGCTTGCTTTGGGAAGGCTGTCTGTGTCATCGCATTTATCTTATAAACTTAATCAAGTCCCCAGCAAAAGAGAAGACCTAACTGGAGCTCACTGGAGGGGTCACTTTAGTCCCAAGTGCCAATTTCAGAGTCAAAACCATCTCATTCTCACAAAGAAGGTACACTGTGAAGGCTTTAAGAAGTGATCAAGGAAGACTGAATAAAAGCAAAGACCTTAAGCCAAACCTTATAAATTTAATATAAATCGTTTCTTACATCTCCTGACTAAAACAATCTCATATCTCATTGTTCTCTCTCCATCTTTGATCCTTGTCATCAAATACCAAATCCTTTGTATTTCTGGCACATGCTGCTTGAGATCAGGTAATCAGATCTTAGAAGATAATAAATACTTCAGGTAACTGAGCGCCGTTGCCTTACAGGACAAAATTACCATGTTCTCAGTATTGACTCTTACATGTTCTTTATAATAATCTTTCATTTTCGCTGTTTCTCACTAAAGAGGCAATGTAAAGAGCAGGGATACCATGTCTTTTCTACTGAAAGGCCATTACATTACAATGTAAAAATTAATCCAAGCCATTAAAAATACACTGCCTTGTATGGATCCAGAGAATACCTTTCCTGTGCTCCAGTTCTCAAAGCCTTTGTTAAAATAAGCAAAGATCTCTTTTTCTGGACTTTACTGGCTGAAGCAATTTTGGATCCGATGTCTGCACTGTGCTGCCTAGCCCTTTGCTCAGATCACAACTATTGCAGCTTCTGACAATCTGCTGTTAACTTTTTGCCTTGCTGGTGTCTGGCCGATTATGGCCCTGTTCCTTCTTCTTTCTCTCACTTTCTAATGGGAACTACCAGGAATATTTAATTCCTTTAGCTGTCTCTTAGGATGGACAGACTTATCATTCTACCTCAGCTCCTTTAGTAGGCTGAAATATAACATGTAGCATAAGATGGAAAAGCACAGGATAACCCTGAGTGAAAGAATAAGGTGACAGTATGAGAAGCAGCTTAGCAAACACGAGTAGCAGTTCCTGACAGCACATGTTCAGTTTAGTATTAGTCTGCTAAAAGGAAATAAGATGATTAAAAAAAACATCAGAGGAAACAATTCTGAAATAAGAAATGAGTCAAGGTCTTGCAGAGGCAAAGGTTGAGAAGGTTAGTTGCAAATTACGCAACATATGTTTGTTATCTTACACAGGACATGATAACTATATGTCAGCAAAGAAAACATTTATTTACATACTTTATTATCAAGATAATTCAAGATCTAGATTAAGATAACTTTGTGTTAATGATGAAGTAATAAAAAAGGAGTATTACCCCCTGAGACAGTGTTACCTGGTTAATGATCTCCAAAGTGATGTTTTACTTCACATTTTAAACACCCATTCTTTGTCTTTACATTTATTTTCTTTTCCATGCGTTATCTATGTAATCAAAAAGCACCCACGCTCCCTCTGAACATAAAACATGACTTCCCCATGTCATATCTGCATTGCATGTTCTTTGCACTGTATCACATTTAAAATTTCAGTTGTTGTTTTTATATGTGACTGCAAGTCAAGTTTCTTGGAGTTTATCCCTCGAATGCTCTTGATTCCCAGTACATACCTGTCACATGTCTGGGTCAGACTTTAGCTTCGGAAAAAGCCAATACAAATTATGTCAACTGGTCCTTTATTATCTGCTACTTTCCTGGCATCCCCAAGGAAAGACTGAACTGCAAAATTGGTCATTCCTTACCATTATTCCCACTTATCCTTATATTGTATTGCCAGTAGAGTTCACATGCCCTTTGGTTTATTTCTTCCAGGGCAGCGTGCTGTGAAGGCAACGCTCCAGCAAAGTCCCGCTGTCGATTCAGCAGTGTTTGTCCCAGCTCCGTGCAGTGCTCCTGCAGGCTGGCAGCGCTCCTGAGACTTTCAGTCTTCCTTAGATGCACCTCCCCTCCGTACTGCTCTAGGTCTTCTTTTAGCATCTGAAAGAAAAGTGGGAAGCTCACCATGCCCCCAAAAGCTGGACCACCCCTTGGCTGCAACAGGAAGGTGATGGAAATCAGGTAAGAGAAGCGTGAGGAATCCATGAGCATAAAGATGTCACAGTGAGTAGATAGCACAATAAGTTGGAAACTTTTTGGTGACAATTCCGAGTGCTTCTATGGATTCATATAATTTATCGGTCACCAGAGCTGTCGGTCAGACAGTGCCCAAATGCACAGCTAAGTTTAATGTGCTGGCTGAACTATGGTATTGGTCAATTATAACTTCTCATGTGTAGACTCCTAGTTTAAGCTTCAGCACAAAAGATTTGAGCTGATGTGTTTTCATTCACATTTGTGATGGGCATAGATGCTCACTGTGGCTCAGCTAACACATGGTAATTTGCTGAGTAGATACCACCTGATAATATGTCCAACCCCTCAAAATCTTACATTTATCAAGTTCTTGATATCTCGTAGGATTTCATCCAGTAGCTTTTCATTCATCGGAGAGGAGCTAAAGCAGAGGGAAAGAAGGGATGAGAGCTGAAAAAAACCCTCCTTTAGTAGCCAAAGTAAAACCAAGAGTCAAGATATATACTCTATGCATACCAGGTTTGTGAAACAAATTGTGACTTGAAAGAGAAGTAAGAAACACAAGGCCCTACTCAACCAGAGATTTTTGTTCTCTCACTCAACATAACACAAACACTGGGTGTCAGTTAAGAAAATATATTACTTCCAGCAAAGATAAAAATCAAATTCAAGCACATATTGAAAATTCAGACATTATTAACTCTATAAATGAAATTTATAAAGTGATGTCTTTTGTTCATGCACAGGCTCTGCATTTCTGTATTTTGTACTTGCATTTATGCTTTGCTTTATTTAACATATCACAATGAACTAACAAAAAGCCTGCAAAATATAAGCACCTTAACATAAGGAATTACTTTGGATTTGAAACCTCATGTCTCTCAGAGTTGCATTTTGCATCTGTACATGAGAGAACTGAACGCTTTATTGAAGCATCACTGCGTGTGCATTCAAGTTAAAATGAACCAAACTAAATAGAGGAATTCTGTTACAGCAATGACAGCTGCAAAAAGGACATTCTCGTTCGCAGCAGGAGGGTACAATCCTTGCTCCACTGAATTCAACCACAAACCCACAGCATCACTTTGGAGTTACCGTTATGGATCTGATTATCAAAATAAATGCGCCAAGCAGAAAAGCAGAGCAGTGAGGGATGTGCCAATTGCACCAAATCTCACTGCACCTGAGAGCCAGTGCACACTTTGCACTGGTCCAGTGAGATCTACTATCACAAGGCAAAGGTTGAGGGTGTTGACTGCTACCCCCGGTCCCTCTGGGCCACTCACAAGTCACTGCTATGGAAGTACTGAAGCCACTTGTTGAGGCTGCTGCAGATAATTTGCAATTTTCCCTGGCTGGACTCCTTGGAACGCTCTATTTCTGCTCCAATGTGACCCAACCTCTCCCTGAACTGCTCGGTCTCTTCCCGCAGATCAGCCAGGTCTTCCGTGTCCTGCAGGTGTTGGGCAAGAGGGTGGGAAAAGGGACTGTTGTGATTTTTTTGATCCAAGTTGGAGAAATTCTCCCTTTGCCCTAGCTATTTTGAGATATACGCATATCAGAGATCTGGGAAATGTCTGTAATTCCACAGCACAGCCCTCACAAACCCTTTGACACAGGACTAGGGTGGCTCACCCTCTCCGGGCATGCCAGAACTGAGCGCTTGACTCCTTGCTGCTTGTATGCTATTGAGATACCATGCAGCCCCATACCTACGAGGCCAAAATTACACTAGCCTGGATCTGTTTCGGTTTTATGGAGAAGGAATGGGGAGAGGGAAGAAAGCCACAAAGAAAAAGGCAAAACAAGGGAAAAAAGAAAAGTTTGAGGTAGAGAAAAGGGGACATGGAATAAAGAGAGAAAAGCAGAAAGAGAGTGAGCTCATTCAAATTTTAATGCTTGTTTGAAACTAGACCATGATTTGAAGGTTCAAATAACAGGCAAAGTACCGAATGCTTTACTGAGAACCATAGAGGTACAAAAATCACACATGCAAACACTTTGAACAGGTACCCGTCACAGGCAGGTCCTTACCTTTGGGGCCAAGAGGACTATGAAATGCTTGAGAAAGTTGGTCAGTGTCTTTCCACTAACATGGAGCCTGTGAACCAACGTGAGCTGGTTTCTGTCTACTATCTGAAAAAAAACCCCAACCATTATTATTTGCACTGTTTTCTTCTGAGAGGAGAGGCATCTGACATTAACACGGGAGCTTTACCATCAGTAAAATGGAGCTCAAGCAGTTGAGTTCACTTTCCTTACAAATAAATTTCTGATCTCCTAGGCAGTCCCAGAAGTTCTGCTAACGGATTTTAAACTTGAAGGGGATAAAGCAGGAGATCACAAACAAGGGGGACAGACAAAAAAGGAAGCACAGAATTAACCAAGAATGATATTTTGTGAGGAACTGTGAGGAATCTGGGTACAATATTCTAAATTATGAGGAATAGGAAACTTTTCAGTCAAACCCGTCTCTGAATGGAAATATTATTTTCACAGAAGTTCTTCCTGCACAGAACCTGGAGATCCATACCAAAAATGCTGTGTGAGTTAGCTGGTTTCCATTTAAAACACACACATGTGAAATACAACAGACCTCAGGAAATGAGGTCAGGGCAGGTATGAGATGCGTTACTACACAATCGTACTGAATAAAAATGTTCTTCGGAATGAAATCTGCCCTTGGAACAAGACTGCTAGCTATGATGGCTTATACCTTGCAATGTATGACTGATCTCCTGCACCTACCTTCAGAGCCAGGTCATATGCAGCTGAGCTCCAAACGTCTCTCTCTTGGGCTATCAGCAGAACTTGCTTTTCCAGTCGTCTTCTCTGTGACTCGTATAACTCCCGATACTCTTCCAAAAGGCTAGAAGGGAAAGACAATGAAATATGTGCACCTGTGTTTCTCATTCACGTTTGCTGTCTTTCTCCCAATTCCTAAAGCTTTTCTTAGACATTTCCTCTTCCTCCTTCCTTCCTCAGTCATCTCCCCCACAGCCTGTAAATTCACAGGTCCTTTTCCCCGAGCCCCTACAACACCTTTCTGTTGATATTCCCATTACGACTTGGATTCAGTATGAATACAAATCTCTGTAAGTGAATCTGTGTGCCTAAGCACCATAACTCTGATACCAACCACTGGTATCCCTGGTTTCTTAGGTATCTGAAAATGTCCACAGGCCCTTAGAGGTTCAGAGCTGCAGGCTCTGCTAGACTATGAAGAGCTCACCAGCTGTGAATGTGGCGTGAAGAAAAGGGAATGGCAGCACCTGAGCAACAAATGCAGCTTTCATGACTTAAAACTAGAAATGTTTTGAAGAGCTTTCTATCCCTTTGAGGGCTTTAGCATTTATAGCAAAATAATGGCATTTGTCATAAACAGCCAGACAAGCTCTCTCCCCTAGAAGGAAATCAGCCCTCACCTCACCTTCCCAACAACCCCAAGAGAATGGAACCAGCACGCTGCAGAAATCTCCCGACCTCAACTTTGAAAACAACTTACTTTGCATTTGCCTTAGCCTCCTGCATGGCTGTAGCTAGCTCCTCTTGAGCTTTTTCTGCTTCTTTGGTCACCTGGCGGTCACGCTCTTGTACTCGTACAGCTCGCTAAAACAAGGGGGAACACACTTAATGCAACTTAGCCCAACCGAAAGGTCTCTACTCTGGCAGACACAGACTGGTGGGCCCTACACTATCATGCAGGGCTCTCTTCCTCCAACACAATCGCCTCACTGTAGGGGTGAAAGGCATCTTGAAGGCCTCCTCTTCCAGTGCACGCACGTTGCTCCACCAACCCCTTTCTGCAGTCCCCCACCAACGAACCTCCAGCGTGCTAAAGAAAGGAGGTGGCTTTGACATTATTTGGCACTAAGAGGGTGCAGTGAGAGTGTGAGGAGGCTCAAGTGTGGTCCCTGTAGCTCTGCTTCAAATCATAACATTATCTTCCTGCTCCTATGGGAGGAGGACTAGAAAACTGAACAAAATCAATGGACTAAGCCTAGGGCATAGAGGTAATTTCTTAGGATCAGGCAGGATTCAGACCTGGCCAGCTGTCCAACAGATTCTTTAAAATAAAGTAGTTCTTCTGTAATATGTCTGTCAACCAGCTGCTGTACCATCAACTTTTTGTAGAGGGTCTTCATCTGTTCAGGAATCCGCACCAGGAGACCCACGTACCTCTGCCTGCAGTAAAAAGTAAAACAGGGTATTTACCTGAGAGTGCAGATCTCTCTTACCCCATCTGAAGACCCTTTCCTTTCACTGCACAGGAACACAATCTTTTTAAGTGTTTGGACCGGGGATTTTAAACACTCTGGAACAATTTAATTGCTACAAATAGCGGTAATCTGAGCATGGGAACACTGGCCATGAGGGAGGTACCAGCTATTCTACGTCTGAAAACTTCCACTGAATGTCACACCAATAAAGCGCCCACGCTGTCAAGTGTGGTGACAGTGCTACTGACTTCAAGCTCCAGGTTACCTAACAGAGGCTCATTAGCCCCAGTTGTTAACTAGGCAGAGAAATCCTATTCCACTCCTGGCATCAGACCCCACGCCAATTACATCACGACGGGCTAGCTTTGCTGGGCAAGGACATCAGGAACGATCTGCAAGAGCTAATGCTGCTCCCGAGAGGACACTGCCATAGATCAAGGGGGGGATTAAGGGTCGGCTAATGATGACCTGAGCTTTGAAAGCAGCTGTCCTTTCTCCACGCAGTCCACGCTGACCTGCTGAATCAGCTCATGGAAAACGATGTTGTAGATGTTCTGCTCTGCCTTCATCAGCTCCAGCAAGTTGTGCAGCTGGCAAAACAGGTGAGAAAAATCACAGCCTTGCAGAGCCCGGCCAGCCTACTCCTTTAACAACAGAGGTTAGCACAGATCTCTCATTTCTTCTGAAGGAGGTTTCCCATTGAGGACAGAACACTACTAAAGGTATAAAGGAGA